GCTACAAGGAAACGGAAACTAAAAAGAAAGGGGAATGTTTGGATTAAATGTGATCGTTTATACACATTCGGTAGATTCTCCCAAGGTAGCATTAATGACAAAGAGAAAAATGATTAACGTTATAGTGAAGGAACCTGGCAGAGAGCACCTTAGCCAAGCAAATGAAGTTACCATCAGCTGTAAAGGGACAAACTGGTATCAAGTGTCAATGAATATGGATGGACCATAATTACTGTGATATGAGTGGGGAAAATTAAATCATAATCTTAATCTATTCATAGAAAACAGAATCTGTGGGGAGGGCACAGGGGATGGTGTTTCTTCAAACCGGCCATGTGACCCTAACTGGAAGCCTGGGCTGAGAACCACTGCGCTAAGTCTTGCCAGGGTAGTGTTACAGCAGGGCTGACCGAGAATAGACCGAGACACACACAGAGATTTTGGCAAAACAGGTTTTATATGCCGGCCGGCAAGGCTCAGTGGGGAATTTGCTCTCCCCAAATTCTGAGCACCAGACAAAGAGCATTGCAGTCTTTTATACACTCTGCTTAAGGAGGAGGGGCACGGCTACAACAGGGTTAACTTTAGTGAGGCAGGGTCCTGAGCCACTTTACAACCTGGTACACTAATTGCTACAGGTCATTTATGAGGGGAAAGGTCGCAGGGCAGGAGAGGAGGAGGCCCAGGTAAGGATCGCAAGGGGAAAAAAAGCCCGGTAGTGGAATTTCTGAGAATTCCACTTTAGTGGAATTTTCCAATCTTCCACTTCAGTAGAGTGCAGTGGCAACATCATAGCTCACAGCAACCTCAAAAGCCTGGGCTCAACAACCCTCCTGCCTCAGCCTCCTGAGTAGCCAGGACTACAGGCACATGCCACCATGCCTGGCTAATTTTTCTATTTTTGCAGAGACAAGGTTGCTTTTGTGACCGTAATTACACCTCAAGTAGAAGACTTCACATCACCATTTGTCATATATAGTACATCCTAAATTCACCTGGTAATGGGGAGGCTATCTCTGTTTTGGCTACGTTCAAAGGAAAAAATTCATCTCATGTCTTCATGACAGGCTGTAGATTTGCAACTTGGAGCCAGGTGCTCGCTGAAGGTAGGCTCCTACTTTCCTACAAAAACTTTGGGATAGGGCTCTATCTTCCTGGCTATTTAAATTTCA